TAAATGGAGTTACTGTATGTGTGTTACTGGAAACTCTGAGCATCCGGATGTAAGGATTTTAAAAAACCCGGACTGGTACTTTTTCCTTAAGTGTCTTTCCTAGATAGGAAAGATAAGTTTTCTTCTGCAACATCAGCACTAATGTGAAATGTTGGAAGAAAAAGTTGCCGAGAGATTATTTGGAAGGGTATGGTGCTGAGGCTAAACAGAAAACTGAGGTGGAGAGATCAGTGAGCTGACATACAGTTTGTGTAAAATTATATTTTTACATGAAGTCCATATCCAGTGTAATCCTAGTCCCTGGAAGTGACATGTAAGGGATACACTGAAAGCAGCTGTTGGTAGTATTTTGTTCTGGCAGATGTTCGTAACAAAACAAAAAACCCCAACAAACAAAAAACATTTAGCTTGTATTCTCTTGCTCAAGCGCTTATCAGATGCTTGCCCTGCTGGAAGCCTTCCTAGTAGATGTTTCCACTTGTTTGATACTGTAGTGTGTATCAGATAGTATCAGTATATAGTGAAACTCTTTGCATGTTTGTATATGCAGATTAAATTACATCCTTCTCAGTGTTCTAAGTAGTAGGAGGTTTTTTTGTTACTGTGACTCATATTGGAGTCACTTGTAAGAGTATGCTGAACAATCTGATTAAAAATCCTGCATTTGACAATAAAGAGCTGTTCTTAAGCTACATGGTTCATAGGTATGCTTTGTCTCTCAGAGTACTTGAAATACAGGGAACTATTCTAGGTTCCTTCCTTTTTTTAAAATAAAGCATGTCACTCTATATGAACCAAAAAGCACTTAAATTATTTACGTATAGCACAAATGAAACATGAACCCTGAGGGTGAGAACCATCTGATACGTAGCACGTTGCATGATTAGATGTGACAGACTCCAAAACAGCAAGCTATTATTCTTTCTTGGAAGACCTCACTTGGCCTTATCTAGGCTTAGGTTTTAAATGTTCCTTAATTTAATGCCTCCGTTGCTCAAAATAGGATGCTATAAAAATACGTATATGTAAAAATTGTTGGTAGTCCAGTGGCTGGAGCACAGGACTGCAAAGCAGAGTATGTGGCTTCTAGTCCTTTCTTCACTGTTAACTTTTTGGAAGATGTGTGCATTATTTTATTCATTTAACTTCAGTGTGATTGCGTGGGACCACAGTTGCAAGCCCAAGTTCTGTATCACCTGTAATCAGAAGAGAGAAGTAGGTGCTTCTTAGGAGAAAAGGGGGAAATTTCAGAGCACTTGAAATGATGCCTAAAAATAGGTAGTGTGAGGTTTTCCTTATGTGACCTGGCCATAGTCTCTTACACTTATATTGCTTAAGCATTCCTCATTTGTTGAGTATGGAACAGGAGAATACTGTGCTACTAAAGACGAGAAGGGTGTCCTGGTGGAAGATAAAACTTCACGCACATAACGTTATTTCAATCAAGTTCTGTCATCACATTGCTATCTTCTGTTTTGGTATCCTTTCTATAACGTAAGAGGATTAACTATATATAGATGGGTAAAGCAAGTAGGGCTGATAATTCTTGAACGATTAATTAATTGTAGAACTTGCCAGATCACTTTGGCAAAGTCTGCATCTGAGTGTGCAACTCAGATTTCTCAGGTTGTTAGATCAGTAACTAATAAACTAATTGCATTTCAGAATAGTTCTGTACTGGTTTTGGAGTTAGATAAAAAGCCCTCATGTATATCCCTTAAGGAGTTGTTTGAAAGTTTAATATCTGAGCTCAGCAGTTTGTATCCTCTTTCTGTTAAGTTTTGAAGGATGTTCTCATAATCTGATCTTTGCATGAGGTGTCAGCCTCCTTAAGTTCTCTTTGATTACTCTATATGTAAGAGCCTCCATTAAAAATACTTTTTTCTGGCCTGGTACCATGTCAAGAATCAGATCTTAGTTTCCTGACCCGAAGATCATGACAAGTTTCATGATCTGCTGGTTTCAATTAAGCTTCTGAAAGAAACAGTCCTGCTGCTTGCTCCTTTTCCTTCCTTTTACTTCCACATTTACATTGCCCCGTAGCAGACGTTACTAGAGTAACCAGACTAATCCAACAGAACAAAAGGTTAGTTTTTAGCAGTATCATCTCCCCGATCCAGTGTATTGTACAGTCACACAACTACTTATGGTGGCACAAAAAAATGGTGTGAGGGGCCAGAAGGGCAGGGGAGGGCAGTGAAGTGCTGGGTGTGTACCAGCTTAAATTTATCTGGTAAACAAACCACTTTATAAATAAAAGGCAAGAGATTACAGATGGACATGCAGTAGAAAGCTATGAAGCAACAGAAGGGAACGTTGAAGCAATATTTAGGTAGCAGTCAGACTCAAAAACCAGGAAAAAAAAAATTCTGTTTGCTTGTGCAATCCTGGCCCAGTTCCTATCTCGTACGCTGAATGAGGCGGGAATTCCAGTGGAAAAAATACCATATAATTAAAGCTTGTGCATAACTTGTTTGAGTAGCCTCAGGTACTCTTATAATTGCGGCAGCCTAAAAATAGTGGCTGCTACCAACTGTCTGTGAATGTGTGGCTAGCTATGGTTTGAGTTACCGAGCATACTTAGCTTTTCACCCACCGAAGTATCTTCCCGTATCACCAGGCATCACTCTCTGCCAGTCGGTGTTTTGCAGAATGCATAGTTGGTTGAGCCTCTCTTTTTGTGGATTGACAAATGGCTGTTTCCTGCGTCCAGAACAGCTGCGGTTTCGTTCTATTTTCAGCATGTGAAATCAGAGATTTACTACAGGAATACTATAGTCCACCTAAGGTTGCTCTTCCTCATGATTTGAAGTTTTTTTTTGTGTTAATAGCTATAACTTTACATAAATGTCTTTACGTGCGATAATTTACTGCTTCAGATAGCTTATGAGAAAAAGCATTAGCGTTGGAGGCTGTAGTGCTTTTCATGAGCTATGTTGACTTGCCATTGTAATTACTAGTGCTCTGACACTAGGTGCTTAGATGGCAGATGTCTGTAATTAATTGGCGGTGGCAGGAATGAAGCTAAGCTACTTTTAAACAGTGAGCTGCTCCTCATTTGGTCCACATATCACTGCATCCGTGAATTAGATGAGAAGTCGTGGGTTGAAAACATTAGCTGTTATAACAGTTAGGCATTTTTGAGAAAATAAGTTACCTCAGCTTCTGCAAAGCCACCTGTTGAAAGCAGAATACTTAAGTGACTTGGGTTGTCTTGGAGTCCGTCTTTGCTGCTCATTTTGTGGTTCAGGATCAGGCCTTGAGCAATGCTGCCTGGCAGCTGCAGACCGTAGTCAATGAGATTAAGGAGGATGAAGTCCTTAGTACAGTGCTGAGAAAAGGACAACTAACAGTTGCAGATGAATAGATAATGAGGTAAGATGTGGGTCTACCAAAGATTGTGCCACAGCAACTTAGGTATCTCCCCTGGGTTAGATAACGGAGCTTTGGGGCAAAGGAAAAATGGGAAACTTCATTTACCTGGATTGAGGCAAAATATTTAACGAGATGTGATGCGGGAGTTGTCCCAGCTGTGGAAGATGGAGATCTGTGTATCTACCTGTCCTTTAGAGCCCTCTGAAGAGGACAGAGTGTGAGCTGTACCGAAAAGATTATGCCGCGGGAAGTGTTTCGGCGTAACGCTGCCGCTCTTTCTTCGGGACCGATTTAGGGG